AAGTGTCATTCATCTATTACCAGAATTGACCACCGCGGAGTGAAACAGCAAGCTGTCTGTTGCAATTGTATCTCAGTTCGTATTTGACAGCATCTAGCGGCCACAGAGGTGACCAACCGGTCAAATTATGAACTGATATACAGGTCAAACAGGCAGCTTGCCCTTTTACTCTCGCAGTGGTCGATTCTTCAGCAATCAACATCCACTTAACTCTCGATATAGTTTCTTTTTTATGCTTAGATCAACGAAAAGCCATCCAGCGAGTACTCTACACCCACACAGCACGATATGTGTGACGAAAAGTAGTCTAAGTTTGAGCTTTAGGAGCACCAGTCCTAAAGTAGATTTGATCCACGATGACTGGTTTGGTCTAGCTCCACTGGCTAGTCCTGAAAGCATGTCAGAGCTATCCAGTATAGGTTCCAGGGCTAGTCTAGTTAATAACACTAACGTAGTGGTGGAAGTCAACAATACCCCAAAGGTGAGCACTTTTATGCAAAAGCATCAGGAATATTGACTTCTTCACAAATTACATGGCTAAGTGTAGAATCGAGATTCAGTTCAGTGTATATCTTCGTATGTTGAAGATAAGATTGAAAGACTTTTCAGTACACCCAGGACATGATCTATTAATGTAATCAGAAACTTGTACTTGCAGATAATGCGACGAAGCTTGAAAATAATAGGAAACTTGAGTACCTGTGCAGACGACATGAGAAACGTGAGGAATTTTCAAAAATCGAAGGTATTCACAAGAATTATTACAAATAATAACACTGAAAGCTCTTCAAGTAGTAATTTAAGTTATGAATCTGCATCTAGTAGTAATAAATGTTGTACTGGTGGAAGCAGTGGCAGCTGTAAAGGCACAGATGAAAGCGGGTGAGTCAAACATTTTTCCATTTTTGGCTATTTTTATTCAAAAAATGTTTTTATAGATGGAAAATTTATAAACTTAGGGTGCCAGGTTGTACATATGTAAATATTTTCTTAAGCGTACTTTAAATACGACGCTCTAACAATATTATATGTATTTCAAATATATTTTGTATTTTAGAGCAACCGGTTGCAATGAAGACAGTGAATTTCAGTCAGCTGAAGATATTTTGGACAACGTATTAGCTAGTGCAGGTTGTAAAGACTTCTTCAATTCAGAATCAAACTTCTTAGAAACCCACTTTGATTTATTGCAAGAACATACGAATGACAGTCCAACGATAGGACTTTATCGTCATACTCAGGTAATTTTTTCTGAGCAAGATTAAAATAACAAAAATTCTAGATCGTTAATAAAATAATAATAATGTTATACAGGGCCATCTACAAACATGTGGTGAATGTCTTGTAAATTTTTACGCCACTGATGGTACTGATGAGACTGAATAAGGACATGAATATTGTTCAAATAACGGTGATGTAAAATTGATTTCCTCATACACCAAATGCAATGTTTATCTCGAATTTCACTAACTTCAGCGTATTTTCAAAATAGTGTTTTTTGCGGATTTTACCTCAAGTATTCAAACCAACTTGTCTCCAAGAGAAGTGGAGTAAGAAAAATTTCTGAAGCGAAGCGATTCATGTAAAATTGAATAACTTACTGAACAATGTTAGAAAATTTAGAGGCGAAATAAATTTTCTATTTTCTTCTGAGGGAGCAAAATTTTCCAACTTTTACGCCACTGGTATAGTCTTACGCATAAACATTTTTGTATATTTTAACTATGGTGTCAGTACTGCATCTGCAACATTTGAATTCAATATCTAATTTCGACTCAAAATTATAATATCAACACCCTGTATATCGGTAAGGGGGCATTCTGGTCCCATGTTTATATGCACTTTTCATGATCTATTTTATGTCCTGAAAATATTGCCAATTTCTCTGAATCAACTGTTTGGTTTCAGGTGTTATCCCAGAATAAGGAGATAGACCAGGATTTGATCGCAAACATAGCCATAGATTTGAACTTAGATGAAAAGAATAGAGCTATATGTATACAGAAAACTGCCAGTGTAAGTCATCCATCAAGTAGTGCTGATTCGGGAAGTGCTTGTAGAACTCCTTCAGATATCACCAAGAATGTCACCTTCAATCCTCAGGTAAAGTGCAGTTTTAGGAGATAAAAGTAACATTCTATTCCAGATGGGTCCATTTACCTTTTTTTATTTGAATGCCTCTTACATTATTCAAGTGGAGTGGCGTGTCGAGGCACCCACACACACACACACACACACACATACAGGGGGACTTTGAAGTTGAGTCATTAATTTTCAGATAATGATTGTAGAAGGAAGATAAACCAAAATATGTGTGTAAAAATGAAAAAAAAATTAAAAAAATTTTTACCTTGTTTTATAAAGTATCCTCCCGACAAGTATTTCAGTGCGGACCTGTATTTGATCGTGCGGTCATGGAGCACCGGCATGCCATCCCCTATGAGGTCTTAAGTCACCTGATTCACGAGCCCTTTGTACTACATTAACAAAGGCACGAGGGGTTCGTTGCACTCGATTGGGAAACCGATCCGCATAAATCCGTGATGTCGCGGCAGCATTTTGTAAAGACTCTCCCCCGTAAATAAGAATTATGTCCACAAGTTCAGCATTTTCGTAAACATGTGCCATTTTTTATTTCGTTTGAGCCACGCAACAGACACTATTCACACGCGACTGACACTGACTGTATGTATAACTGAACTGAATGAAATAAAAACATCGTTCCAAATTCTTTCGCTTTTTTGTTTCCCATGCGATGAACCGATAAGGTGGATTATATCCGTTGTTGCCAAACACGAGTACATGATATTATTATTGAGACAGGGCGGTACTCAAACTTCCAAAGGGCTATAACTTTGTTACTTTAATTTTACCAGAAAAATGGTAAAGGACAAAAACATTTCTTTTGATCAGATCTACTCACTGTTAAAATAAATGACTCCCTGTATATACTTTAAGGAGGCCTAATTCTGCAAATGAAAATCATCAGGTACCTTAACTTCAAGTGAATTAGGGTAGTTACTTTTTGACCTATGAGCAATCTTTTCTGTATGACGACCTTTGCAATTCAATTTCATGTGATTCCAGGTAATAACGGTAACAGGATCGGCATACGCGCACCACTCTTCTTCATCACCTGGATGGCGACAACTCTTCCGTGGTCGTCAAGTTAAACACCAACGCTTAGAACCACCCCCACCACTTCCTCCTGTAGCTGCCGTCACGCCTATCAAAACCATTCTGTCCAGTCGCAAGCACGGCGACCGATCTATTGGCGGATCAGCATCGTCAATGGGCGGAGCTACGTGTTCGGTAGGCACCACCACCTGCTCAACGGGCGTGGCTACGGACGGTGACGATGCTTTCTGTAGGACAACAGAGGCGTTGCCACTTCTGAGTGGGTTGAGCGGTGTTGCCGTTGCGTCATCTAGTCCCGGATTTGCGAGGAGGAATTATGTCTACCCGGCTGATACAGTGGTGATTCAGCAACAGACGCAAGGGGAAAGCACTGTGTGAGTGACGGTGAAGTGTGGGTTTCATACTGAGTGCTGGATATTTGCAAATGTGACTCTGAATACAATAAATAAGTCAGTATTATGAGATGTATCTAAGAGCCGTAATTGCAGTAATCTTGATTATCAAGTGGTGTATACCAAGAGGTGATACTGCCATCTAGGAGTACTTCGCCGGGGGTTGTATATGTATACAAATATTCTCTTCAGATGAATTATGTGAAAAGCGAATTCTAAAAGAGCTTTCAACAGGTGTTGGTCAATGTCTCTCGAGGTAACTGCAGATGGGACACAAAATTTCGCATATAAAATCAGTAGAAAAAATTTACTCTACGAAGTTTACGATAAATAAGAAAGTCGTCTTTAATCACTACCTGACTGATTATGTTACGTTATAACTTCGTTCACACTATACCGCACCTTTTATAGCATCTTTTATCTCGGTTAGGCCATCATTGTACATAAAATGCAGCGAAAATGTAACATGACTTGTACGAGTAGTTGAATGCATAAAAATAATAGTTTCTAAAGGACCACTATGAGCTGTTAAAGGGTTTCTTATGAAAAGGTTCCATAGAAAATAGTGCTCGGGCCGCATAATAAATTTTTCTTTTAGGACTCCTTCACTTGTACGATTATTTTTTAAGAAACAGCATTCAACATGGAATTGTAGACGTTATACGTTATGCTGTATATACATAAAAAAGATACTTACCTAGTATATAACCAATAGAATGATTGTACAGTTTTGTAAAGCACCAATGTATAAATGGACAGAGAATACGTCCTTTTAGGCGGATAGATGTACGTATATCAACCTAATTACGTAATATTGATTATTTTTAAATGGATAAAGCCACATTGCTCATTACATTTTATCAATTTTCCTACATTCCTGCAAAAGCCTTTACCCAAAATTTGTCTTCACATCTAGCAGGTCAAACGTAATTAGCCAAAAACGTTTTAATAGGGACGCATCAATGATATTAAGCAATATTGCATGTATCTGTAACATTCGATTTTTTAAAACTGTTTGAGCTTTCTAACTAAGCCACAATATTTTTACCAATTTAGATTTTGCTTATAGTGTTCAGAAAGACAACCGATTTTGTGAGAAACTGTAAGTAGATGGATTTGTTAACTATGTTAAAGTTTACCATGTAGAGACTGTATTTCGGTGTATGGTTAGGGTCCAAATGTACAGGTTATATGATTTTATTCGATTGTCAGATGTTTTATTGGGAATAGAGTTACTTTAATATGGAAGCTGCGTTTTATTCAAATCCCTTCAAGTACGAGTATGCCTTATGGTAAATTAACCGATATTCTGGGTACTCTAAAAATTAAGGAGATTATACTGGACCTGACTCAACGAAGTAAGAATACCATAACCCACAGCTGGTCAATGTGGGAGAAACTTTATTTGAGAAGAATTAGATTTGACCTTTAGAGCATTTATAATAGGCGGGCAGTGAAACGCAGGCTAATCGTAGACAGAATTTATTAAATTCGAGTAAACAAATAAATTATAGCTACATTTTTAAATTGCTATAACTGTTTTTCTTAAATATATACAAACATCACAGTAAGGAATTTTTACAAGTACTTGTGAATACATCTTTGGCTTATTTTCAGGGTTACAGAGAGTTGTGTCATTTGCCGAAAAGACAATTGACAGATTGTTGATTACGATTACGTATATATCAAGTAAGAAGATTAAACATTATATTTCTGCACTCAAGTTGCTACCCGAAGGGTTTATCTTATTGTTTCATCATTTACCTGAACCATTCATTATCACTTAACTGCCAGTCAGGGATTGTAGACATTGGGGGATTAACCAGTAGTCTACGAATGATCGGTAAGAATTTTGATCCAATCCCGATTTCAATTTTTCACTATTCGGTATACTACTTGGGATCTGCGACGCCATCTATTTTTTTCTTGTTTGGCATAGGTGGCACCCGCGGAGCCTTATGAAAACCAAACCATCTTCAAGTTTTTGATTGCCAAAATTGTAGGACAGGAGTGACTATTTAGAAAAATAAGACAAATTACAGTGATTCGAATGCTCTAAAATGAAATAATTTTTGGCAAGAGGTTGAGGCTCAATTTCATTCAAGCAGCCTTGTAACCTACAAATCTTGCTGGCGAATTCGGTTCTAGCGGTTTAGACAACATGATAGGAAGACGGTCGTTGCCCCAGGACTCTACAACCCTGACTATTTTTTACAGTCTAACATCCAACCATCATTAGGCATACATAACTTTGGCTTAAATCCTTGAACATTTTTATTCCGTCCACCTAGTACTTCTTCCATCGATCATGATATGTGCACTTGCGTCACCAGAATTCGAACCTCGGTCATAATCTGCTAATGTTTTTGATCTTTTTATTGTTCTCTAACTTGACCTCCAGCCACCCAAACGAGACCACAGCTACCAGCAGAAACATACCGAGAGTGTACAACTTCAAGGAGTTGCACACGAAGCCGTGGAACAGGAAGGAGATCGAGGAACCCAGGAATCTGAAGAAGGTTGTTATGGCGAAGGCTGATTCCCAGTTGTCTGAGTACTGGTTTGTCAGGAGAGCTGGAAAAATTGACTAGCTTAAAACTTCGAAATATACTGAATATTATTCATACAGACGTCTCTTATTACAGAGATAAAGGGCGCTTATAACGATACAAGGAAGTGCCGTAACTTGAACGGCATTTAAATAATAAAGTTCTGGTGATTTAGAGCCTCACAGAACATTCTTGCTCTGTTTTATCAAGAGATAATTATGTAAAGATATGTTTCCAATATAACAATTTGCGGGCAACATATGCCGAGTACACGTTGCGCAACATGTGCTTGCACCTTGTTTAAATGGAAACGCAGCTGACCGGGCACATGTGTCGCAACATCTCACAAACCATCAGAACTTCCTCAATACACACACGGTATATATACTTTTATATAACATATATGAAACATTTTGTCCGTACAAATATGCGAGACTCAGGGTGGAAAATAAAATGTCTGTAGCTAAATGTGTAATAACCGAGACGAGCCGAAACGGTGAGCTTGAAAAGTTATTCAAGAGAAACGATTTTCAGGTATATCAGGGAGTCTGTGTCAAGGTATAGAAGGTTAGTGACGAATCAGACACTTTTTGTGCTTATACATTATTATTCCTGGACGACTTGCATAAAAGGTTATCAAGATCAATCGGTTCAATGTCTATTAGACCAGTAAAAGTGCTTATATAAAATAAACATTTTGACAGTTCGTAGCAAAGGGTATCTGCAAACTATCACATCTACTAAGGCGTAACAACTTTCCTGTTAGATATGCTATGATCTGAGCAGAAATTAGCACATTGATACCTTAATATTCGTTAAGAAAGCATATTTCAAAATATCAATTTGAGCAAACCTCCATAATGATAATACTCACAAAACATTAACATCTCCCAAATGGCATTGCAAACACCCCACGATGCAGAAATAACGTAGAACAGTGCGGGGTCATCGTCTATGGGTTTCCATAAAAACAAAACCATTAGAAGACACCCATGGAATATAAATCCTACAGCTAAAAAACGAAAAGGTATGATTAGTAGTTCAAACTAACGCTAGACTGAAGCAAACCTACTCTTTTAACTGAGAGCTCAAAGCAGAACTACTAACGACTGTCCTTTTTTGCAACACACGATACAAGTTGGTTCTGTCTTGAGTTCTAGGTTGAGGTTAGCATTAATCCAGCATCAAAAATACTCACATCTCAAATAAAGTAAGATGTTTCATTTCCTTACCAACTACGTAATATCTTCTGATTGTCCTTAACAACATGCTAAGAGTACATGCAGCTACTGATTGAAGGAGGCCCATGGCCAAGAACACGTAGTTTAAACGATGGATGCCCAGGGTACACATTACATATGACTAAAATTAAAAATATATATGTTTATCAGAAATAGAAATCGGGTGCATGAGCCCTGAGTAGACGAACCTTGGTATAAGATCGTGTAATGTTACTTACCTTACTAAAATCGGCGTACATAAACGCCTGTTCAATTCCTATAAAAACAGCTAAAGGTGCGGCCATCTGCAGTCTTGAATCTCTGAAATGCTCTCTTATTGCCTTCAATGTTGCTAGAGCTTCTATGCCACTATCATCCTGGAACATTAGAAGATATATTTGCTCATCTTCCAACTTTTATTATGATATCCAGGAAAAGTTATAAAATAAGATGAATTATTGAAAAAGGCTCTATCTATATGTGTGTGTATTCCGTATATACATATACTCGTATGTTACAAATCCACTACATGAAATTCATAAATATTGTCTGAAGAATAGTTACAATTCAGGAAATTCTGTTTACCTGATAATCTGCAAGCCGAATGCTATCCAACCAGATCATGCCTATCAGAAACGCTGCTAAACAGCATCCAGCGTATATCGCCGTCAAATATTCCGGCGACTTTCCAGGAAGAACCTAGGTTGACAAAAAAAACCGAATATTTACAGAACGTGACGAAAAAATGTTAAATAATGGTACAGAAAAAGTTCATCTGTAACAGTCCGCCACTTGTTTTTGCAAAAATAAGTGTTGCTTTGTCAAATCCATATTGCTTTGCTTGTAAAGTGTATCTGGGTTTTTTTTCTTTAGGCGCTAAGAAGTAAAGAAGTGTCACCTTCATTGAAAATTTTTTAACGATAAATAGACTCAATGATGGTTAATAATATTTTTTTTTCTGAAAACGGAAACCTCCAGGAAACGACTTAAGTAGAATCAACCTGGCTTCAAGATAGATAGATACTAATCGACTATATTAAGCGGTGATCGATTGTTTTAAGGAAGAGGTCACGTGACGTTAGAAATTTTGGGCGGGCGACGTCGACGCGGTTTTTTCGGTTTTTTCCCGGTTCGCGAAACGTTCGGAAGGAAGGAGGTACCGTTTCGGAAACTAGAAACTCGGCGCTTTACGGGCGGGCGAGAGCCGTCGCGGCGAGAGGAACGGATCGGATCGAAAACGGCCGGTAAAGTCGAAAAATCTACCGTTTTCCGGACGGTACGCGGCGTTATTTCACACTCGTTTCGCCGTTTATCGAAATATCGACTCGAGATCGGTCTCGTTCGATAGCTAAACGAGAAATACGTACCAATAAGCTAAATCTGTTCGGTTCCGCGTCTCGGTTTTTTTTCTAGAAATGTTCGAAAAAAAAGCGACAAAAATGACGAATCGCCTTGAAAACTACGATATCTCCCTTATGCCGAAGAGAAAAGGAATTTCGCGTGCCGCGTTTCGTACATCTCGGCGAGCGCTACAAATTACGCGGAGAGACGTTTTTTCGTTTACGGTACCCGTTTCGAGTAAACGAATCTCGAACGTCGTCAAGAATGACTTTTTTGCGTATAAAGCGCGCTGCTTCGCCGTATATCAGCTATCTCCTCCGAAGATAAAGGAGCTACGAACCTGACGATTTTTGCGTGCGAAAGTCCATGCTTCGGACACTCTTTTAATACTATTTTCATCATTATTATTCGTTTACGTTGAAAAGTTTCGATTTTTTAAAAATTCCTCGACAATACGCTACTTTTCGACGCGTGAAAAAGTCACCTTGTCATCCGGCTCTGTCCTCGCTTATTACTACCGTACGTGAGCGAGTAAAAATTATACAGCTATCGAAAAATAACGATAATGAGCTGACGAAACGATTCTGACCGTTAGAATTACCGTCAAATTTCGAAAAAGTAAATTTTGAGCGCCTCAAAAGTACCGATGACAACCGTTTTTCGGCGTACTTTGTCTTCGTCGATACGGACCTGCGTTACGGAGCGACGTAGCTACGATTTTTTTTCGCAAAACGAAAGACCAAAGTCTCCTGATTAAACCGACATACGACACGTTACCCGATCGCATTTTTTAAACTCGGCAGATTAGAAAATTCAAAGATATGCACACATTTTTAGTTTGAAGTTTCAATTTTGAATTTCCCCTCCAGATCCCCGGATTCCTGTTAGGCGGGGTAATGTAGGTATGATCGTATTACGAAAGCGAGCGAGTGCGAGCGGAACGTCAAAAACGTGCCATTTTCGGCTTCATGACTATCGCTTCATCCAATATTGGATCACGCCAAATAGAATTGTCCTTTTTTACGCGTGAAAATCAACATTTTCGAAAAGATTCAAAATTTCTAAATTCCATTGTCTAAACGGACCGGACTAGATCCATTAAAATCGTAGGAATCTAGTAGTTTTTTATTTTGACAGATTGCGATGTCTACCGCCAAAGGCTGCAATTATTCTTTGACGTTCATCAGTTTATTGAAATCATCATCGGTTTATAAATACGATAAAAATATGATTGTAAGCCCCTATTCATGTTATAATTTTACAATATGGCATAAAGCTCCGCTTTTCCAACCGATTGATATAAAGCGTATGTCTGATTGCATCACCTCCGATTTCTAACCTACAATGTATGAATGTAAACATTATCGAAATCTTAATAATGAGGCTCCCGTTAATAAGGATTAATTAGAAGCTTAGAACAAGCAATCGCAGCTACAAATAGTGAAAGTGTTGTGTGAAGTGTTTACAGTTTATGTGTTTCTATTGCAAACGTAAGTAGTCAGTCACTTCTATGAAGTTCAGTAAGAGTTCAGTCTTGACCCTCAGTTCAATTTGTCTAAATATGTAGACCTATTAGCTGGCTAACAGTGGCACATATTATCAAGCAGATGAAGGAATATGCAAAGCGCTGAAAAATAGCATTGATAATCATATCTACTACCAAAGTTTTCAAAATTACTAAGACTTTCACAGCCACTGCAGTTGTTTATTTTGATCTCAATGCAGAATGTATGTACTTCGATTTAGAATGTAGCTGCTTTAAGGACTTGTCACTTCCAAGACTTGTCAAAACAACAGACACCATTACTTGTCAAAAAACTATAGCACTTGATGATTTCAAATTTCTATTCTGTTTTTAAAGATGTTATTATTATATGTCTAATTTCAAGGATACTCACATCTGTCCTGTTTCTAAGACTGATCTTAATCATAGATTACAGAAAAATTCATTATTGAATCAGAGGAAACAGATTACAAAATTTGATTTTCAAGCGATACTATTACTTACTGTCCAACAACTATAGTACTTAATAATTTCAAGCTTCCGGTCTAATTTTTGAGATGTTATTATTATATGTCATGTTTCTAATTGATTGATCATAATCATACAACATTAAAAAAAATAGAGGAAATTTTAGTTTAAAGCGATAGCACATTTTTCTCCAGATCATAAAGCGAGCATTGTTCATCTGCTTCTGTTGAATTTTTCCCAAACGAAGAACTTTACCACCAACAAACTCATAAATATTGTAAAAACCTTGTAGTAGTAGTATCTCACCTGAGTAGTATGTATAAATGGAAAATAAGTAAACAAACTTGTCATCTATCCCTTCGATTGGCAAATATTATCAAGCAGATGAAGGAATATGCAAAGCGCTGAAAAATAGCATTGATAATCATATCTACTACCAAAGTTTTCAAAATTACTAAGACTTTCACAGCCACTGCAGTTGTTTATTTTGATCTAAATCGATTTAGAATGTAGCTGCTTTAAGAACTTGTGACTTCCAAGACTTGTCAAAACAACAGACACCATTACTTGTCAAAATTTGTAAGATAAGTACTCTTGCACAGTATAATCGTAACTTGGTATAGACATATTTGTGATATCGCTTAGATTAAGCCTGCCAGGGGAGTGAAAGTTACCTATACGAGTACTGAACTCTACATTAAAATAATTTATGATGCCATGTGTTGTATCTAAACTATTTTTATTTTTGCAGATCACATAATTATTACATACATCCCTTAAAAGGGCCCAATTTGAAGTAACATATTATAGAGTTCAATTTTCACATTGTTGTTATTTTTACGGGTTCTTCTTTCTGGCGATGGAAAGTTCAATTGCTTCTCCCTATTATACCTAAACAATGTAGGTCTATTTTCTTTTTTCCCATCCACAAAGTGACAACTACATAAGTATGCACCAGGACCTGGTTCAACAACTGTTCTCCTGCAATAAATAGTAAAAATAAGACAAAAGTTCAATTTGAAAATATCCTATCAATATCCTATTTTTTATAAGCAAGATACACACACATTAGCGGATCGCTCAGTTACATACCTGCTTGTAAACTAACGGCCTTATTTTCAACAAAAATTGTTTTAAAACTCCACTTTAACCACTTGATACGGAAGAAGTTTTCTCAAGGTGTTTATGTTTACTTTTTTTTTTAGTTTTACGGATTTCCTTACTATGATATTTAGGAATTAACTTTCAGAATCTTAATTTTTCCTTTCATTATGTTGTAGATGCACACATCTCACAATAGGAGTTATTGAATTTTAATTTTAAACAAAATACATTTCATTTTCCAGGTTAGAAAAAATTACCTATGACAATGACATTGACATTACAAAACAGAAAACATATACACTGAAGAAAGCATAGTCCACTGCTATCCATAGACGAACACGGTTGACATATGTCAGTGTCAAGCGCCATTTTTTTGCAAGTCGTGTTATAGCTAGATTTATGCGACGATCCTCATATAAATCTAAGTCTGCTATACAATTTGCTACATGGAAGATTTTATAACGCCATGTATGGTATAAACAACAACACATGCGACGTTGCCGGCATCTCACATAAATCTGAGTCTGTTATACAATTGTATACAGGATATTTTCAATGCTATATGGAAGATACAGACAACAGATAACAGGTAAAAGGTGGTAACAGGTAACAGGTGGTAACATATAACAGATAACTTATAACAGATAAAAGATAAAATATGACAGATAACAGATACAAAGTAACAGATAGAAGAAAACAGGTAACAGATAACAAATAACTGATAACTGAAAACTAAAAAATGAAAACTGAAATCTGAAGAATGAAAAATGAAAAATGAAAAATGAAAAATGAAAATGAAAAATTGAAAATTGAAAATCAAAAATCAAAAATCAAAAATCAAAAATCAAAAATCAAAAATCAAAAATCAAAAATCAAAAATCAAAAATCAAAAATCAAAAATCAAAAATCAAAAATCAAAACTCAAAAATCAAAAATCAAAAATCAAAAATCTAAATCAAAAATCAAAAATCAAAGATCAAAAAATCAAATCGAAAAATCGAAAAATCGAAAAATCGAAAAATCGAAAAATCGAAAAATCGAAAAATCGAAAAATCGAAATATCGAAAAATCGAAAAATCGAAAAATCGAAAAATCGAAAATCGAAAAATCGAAAAATCGAAAAATCGAAAATCGAAAAATCATAGAAATCATAAAATCGAAAATCGAAAAATCGAAAAATCGAAAAATCGAAAATCGAAATTAAAAATTAAAAATTAAAAATTAAAAATTAAAATTAAAAATTAAAAATTAAAAATTAAAAATTAAAAATTAAAAATTAAAAATTAAAAATTAAAATTAAAAATTAAAAATTAAAAATTAAAAATTAAAAATTAAAAATTAAAAATTAAAAATTAAAAATTAAAAATTAAAAATTAAAAATTAAAATTAAAATTAAAAATTAAAAATTAAAAATTAAAAATTAAAAATTAAAAATTAAAAATTAAAAATTAAAAATTAAAGATTAAAATAGAAAAATGAAAAATGAAAACTGATAACTTATAAAAGATAACAGATACCAGATAGCAGATACCAGAAACCAGATACTAGACACCAGATACCAGACACCAGATACCAGATACCAGACACCAGATACCAGATACCAGACACCAGACACCAGATACCAGACATCGGATACCA